AACGGCTGATTCAAACGGGAGATCGGTATCTCCTCAACTGGAAAACCTTCGTTGATCTGGAGAAGGCCAAGGACTGGCGCATCGGCATCCGCCAAGGTGATTCAATACTACCACGAGAGAACCCGAAGGCAGCCGCATGGAGGAACGTCGCTGTCTGCTGAATTTCTCCTACGATCAGGCGCTGGATCCCGAAGTCGCCGCCCGCCAGGCGTCCGATCTCGCAGACCCAGATCAATGGGTCCCGCGGCAGCGAGGCCATCCGCGTGGTCCTCACCGAGGGCACCGTCAGCGTCGAGCCCCTGGACGTGAACAAAGCCAAGGCGGCCGAATCCATCGTCGAGCAGCTGCCCCGGATCCCGGACTTCCTGTTCGTTGCCGGCGGAGCCCGCGGCGACGAAGCCCTGTTCCGTTGGGCTAATCGCCTCCAGTCAGCCAAGCTAGTCCCCAACGTGACCACGCTCACCGTCGGCGCCCACGCCACCGAAGCCAAAGCAGTGCTGCCCAACAACATGAGCGTTGCAACCGTCGTCGGGGCCCTGTGCTCCTCGCCGGCGCCGCCGCCGACAACCAAGGGGACGTCCGGAGAATGTCGGGACTGTTAGCCTCCGGTGCTGGACGGAACGACTCCCGCTTCCTAATGGGTTGTGCTTGCGTTTCCTTTCCGGGTATCCGATTTGTGACTGTGTCCTACTTCCCTATCCTCCTACTTGTTGCCTTGCCTTGTACCCATGTATCTTTCTTGCCTCCGACCCCTGCACGTTTAATGCCGTCATGCCCCCCTGTCGTTCATGTTGACCATACGTTGATGCACGTGTAATATTCCCAGACATCCCATTCATCAGCGTACTATTTCACCTTCGGTCTAGACCTAAGATATACGTATGCCGGCGAAGTGTGGATAGTGCCGAATGAGGTAGTAATTTCTTAGAGGCTTAGACAGACGGAGAATTTAATGAAGTGTTTAATGTATTAAATATTGATCCAGGGTCTACGAGCGTGTCAGTAATTATTAAATTGTTTTATCCCCTGTCCGACAGGAACTATAACAGACATTGTGAATATTGGCATTTCGCTAGTAGACTAAACCAGTTCAGTAATTATCTGCAACGAGCACAGTCCACTTCCTAAACAAGTGATGGATGTGCTGTCCTCACATCCCAGCCATGTGAGGCTCATGAAGTAAACTCGACATAGACAACACTGCCGACAGAATGGAAGCTAAGTCAACATTGGAAGGAAGGAAGTGATCGAGAGCATTGCGCCAAAAATGTCAAACGTATGCATGACTCAGTATTCTACCAAAACAAGTACCCTCGAATACACCACCAGCGAGTCAGAAAGGAAAAGGGAATCATAAACTTTGTCATCATATACACCTCAACATAGAGCCAAGGCCAAACAGCCGAATGAAGAAGAGATATTGCGGAGCTAATCCACGTGACGGATGTCGGCGGATGATCTGTCTGAACAGACAGGATGAGAAGCATCCTACGCCCCTTCCTTCGGTGGAGAAGGGTCAGTTCCGGCGGAAATAAGTGTTGGTGCTACCCGCCTCTTCTTAGGCTGTTGCTCCTGGGGGGCTGCGGAGCTCTGATCCTTGGCGTCCTCCTTGTCGGATTCGCCTTGTCGCTTGCCCAGCACGGTGTTGCTGGTGGTACTTGCCCCACTCTGAGAGACAACAGGCATGGGCGTTTGTGGGGGCGACGTGAGAGGCAGGGTAGGAGGCTGCGAAGAGTGAGTCGCCGTTACTAGGGGGCACTGATCCGAGGGTCTGGGTAGGGTTGTTGATGACAGTTCCGCTTTGTTGTGACGGAGCCGATGTAGGATTTGATGAGACACAGTTGGATCGAGTCGGGCTGGCAAGAGTGCCGTTGTG